CGAAAATGTATGGGTACTGTAACAGCTCAATTTGAGAATGAAATGTATTTTTTTAAATCTTTATTGTTGCCGAAACCGGTTTGGCTCAGTGGATAGAGCGTCGGCCTGCGGACTGAAAGGTCCCAGGTTCGATTCCGGTCAAGGGCATGTACCTGGGTTGCAGGCACATCCCCAGTAGGAGATGTGCAGGAGGCAGCTGATTGACGTTTCTAATTCTCTATCTCTCTCCCTTCCTCTCTGTAAAAAATCAATAAAATACATTTTTAAAAAAATCTTTATTGTTGACAGTATTACATAGGTCCTCCTTTCCCCCCCATTAACCTCTTCCAGCCTGCTCCCATCTGCACCCCCCAAAAATGAAATGTATTTTAATAAACACTGCCTTTATAATGATTCAAAGTGTGTATACATTTTGGGGAGACACCCTATATTTTCCATCGTCTGGCATTCAATGTCTTCAGGGCCATTGTTTCATATATTTTGTTGGGCTTTCAGTTGTTCTAGGTGGGAATGTCAATCCAGTCCCTGTTGCCCCACCGTGGCTGGAAGCAGGAATCCTTATGATCGTTGGTTAATTTGTTCAGCTGGCATTTATTGAGGGCGAGCCTACTGTGTGCCCACCTCACACTGGTCCTGTGGCTCTCAAATACGCCGCATGTCCCTATCTCAGGGTCCTTCGGGGGCCCTTTCCTCTCTCTGGAATGCTTTTCCCAGCTATGCATCCTCTCTCTGCTCAAAGGCCTTCTCCGTTTTCCTTTAGTAAAGTGAATTCCTCTCTTTTATTTCCCATCACACGTAGCTTTCCTTTACAGCTTATTTTACTAGAGTAAATAGGAATGTCTGTCTGATTCCCTGCATCCAGCTCAGGGCCAGGCACACTGTAGGTGTTCAATAAATATTTATGAATAGTGAGGTCTTTGCGTATTTCACAGAGCCTGTCATATAACAGCTCAGTCAAATTGGGGATGCTTGGCTGATGGGAGCACATCTCCCTGCCCTAAGGTTGCTAGCAGGGAAGGGATTCAGGGCCCCTGGACTGAAGCCACACTCTCCTTAGTGATAACCAAAGGCCAGCGAGCCAGCCATGGAGGGCTGACAGGTGGGGTTGATGAGTTCCAGACCCAGGACTCTGGGCCTCGGCATAGCCCGGCAGAACCGGACGCGGGGCAGGAGCCAAAGCCAAGCTTCCATGACGTCGTCTCCAAGGGCCATGCCCCTCCCTGGGCCCTGGGTGGAGCTTCAGGTCTCACCCACCCCTCTCAGAACCCTCTGCCACCAGGTCCTGGGGGAAGACGGAGCCTTCCTCCTGGTTCCTGTCCCAGATCTAGTTGTGTGACTGTTGCAACTATTACAACACACACAGGACTATAGGTTGACTACAAAGTGACAAATACTTCGTACACAGAAAACCTTTTACAAGTACTCGCTGAATTGGAAAAGCCTTAGGAAGCTTCTGTTCCAAACCCCTATTTTTGACTGAGGAAGAGACTGAGGTTTCAATGAGGTAATGTATATAGACTGCTTAGCAACAGGCTGGGGACTCTGTGTTTTATTGTAGCCTCTAACCCGCTGCCCACCTCTGGCTAAGCAACCTGTGCCTTGGTGCCTCCCTGCTTCTCGACAGCCGTCCTCCCCACCCTCAGCTGGGGGCCTGGGTCCATCTGTCATCAACAAGGCTTATCGCTAGCATATTTTGAGCCTATATGAGGTACCAAGCCATGAGCTAAGCACTCTGCATGCATCATCTAATTCTTATCTGATAGGTAGTATTGTCCCCACTTTACTGATGAGGAAACTGAGGCTGGGAGGCAGTAGGTAACCTGCCCAAGGCCCTACCAGTGGTTGAAGCAGTGTTCAGACCCCAGAGTGGGTGGTCTCTAAGCTCCTAGGCCTGGCTTCTCTTCCCTTAGCAGTTTCTTCTGATAACATGGATTTTCTACCAGCTACCACTTCCTGGGTCTTTGGGGGAAGCTTGCTTTCTTTTTCTTATTTATTTATTTATTTATTTATTTATTTATTTATTTATTTTTATTGATGGATTTTAGAGAAAGAGAGGAAGGGAGAGAGAGAGAGAGAGAGAGAGAGGGAGAGAAGGAGAGAGAGAGAGAGAGAGAGAGAGAGAGAGAGAGAGAGAGAGAGAGAGAGAGAAACATCGATTTGTTGTTCCGTTTACTTATGCATTCATTGGTTGCTTCCTGTGTGTGCCCTGACTGGGGATTGAACCTGCAACCTCGGTGTAGTGGGATGATGCTCTAACCCGAGAAGCTTTCTGAGTCTCTGATTTCGTGAATCATCTGAACAGGGCAACACAGGGTCTAAAGCCTCCAGTTAAGAGTCTGCCTTGAGGCCCAACTATGAGCTTTTTTTGAAGTTGGTGCTGAGGATGTCTCTGAAGGTCAAAGATAATCTGTGTCAAAAACAGAGCCCGGGGGAAGGTAGGGGAGTGAGCTGCAGCCCACAGGCCCAGCCTTTCCCTCAGCCAGTGCCTTGCCAGCTGGTTCTCTAGGAGCCCCCCTTCTATACTGCCCACCGGGTGGTGGGAGCTGCAGGTGCAGGCAGGCGAGTGGAGTCCAGCCTATGGGAGCTCCAAGTGGGCGGGGTCACCTCTGATGCCCCCCCCCCCCCCCCCCCCCCCCGACGGTGGCCTCTCGAGGAGGTAGTGGGACTTGGCCAGCCTTAGGGGACCTCACCGATTTGAATGAAGGAGAGTGATAGTGGGACGGGCAGCCTTTCCAGCACAGAGAGCCAGGAGTGCAGGTAGCGTGTCCGCACCACAGTCCCCCAAGTTGAGGGGTTGTTAGTGTTTCGGCACATGAGGAACTGAGTCCAGGGTCTGACTGCAGGCGGGATGTGCCGAATGCCAGGGGATGAGGTGGCTTATTCTGAGGGAGGCCCCTGGGCACCATGGGAGGTTCCCAAGCCTCCCGAGGTCAGCTGAGCGATGTGTGTGGGCGTTAATCAGAGGGGAAGAGAACGGAGGGGCCGGCAGAGGCTGTCGGGGCAATCTTGGTGACTATGAGGTGGCCGGGGCCAGAGCAGGAGCCTAGAAAAGAGGCCTGGGGGAGTAGGGCTGGGCTGATGGGATGGCACCTCATCTATCATCTGTCCAACCCATCTGTTTTCCACAAGGAAACAGGCCCAAACAGGAAAAGGGGCTTGCCCAAGGGCACACAATGGGTTAATGGTAGAACCAAGCTAGAAAGACCCTGGGAAGCTCAGGGACACCCCCATTAAACAAGGAGCTGAATCTCCTCCTATAATAGATCCCCAGGGATCAGGGCCACACCAGCTTGGCTTCTGTCTCATAGTGGGACCCCTGGCCTCCCTTCCCCTTCCCTGGGCCACAGTTTGCTCATCTGTGAAATGAGGCCACTGGACCAGCTGACCGATCTGGCCCTTTCTGCGCTCAGTGCTCGGAGGAAGAAGAGGCCAGGCCTTCTCCCTCACTCTGTCCCCCGACCCCCGAGTCCAGCTGCAGCCTGACACTGATGGGAGATGGGGAGGGGGGGCGGGGCGCAGCCTGCTGTGGCTCACGTGCCTGAGGAAGGAGTGCCTGGTCCCGAGGAGGCAACATGATCTGCAAAGGATCCCTGACCCTCTCCCTTTGAACCCTGGAGAGGGCAGCTCAGTCATGTGAGGACCACAGGGGGATTAGTGGGGCTGAGATGGGAGGCTGGGGAGGGCCACCTGGAGAAAGACTGGGAAGAGGGGAGAGCAGGCATCAGGAGAGTAGGGCCTTGGGCCTCAAAGAGAAAGAACTGAGCTGCTGGGAAGGGCTCTGCTGGGTCCTGCAGTGGGAAGGTGGGGGGCGGGGGAGGGGTGCAGGCAGGAACCCAGGAGGAGGGGAGAAGTGTGGTGGGCCTGCGGAAAAGAGGAGGGGGAGCAGAAGGCAGGAGTCGGGACTCTGTCTGAGAGGAGAAACAGGCAGAAGAAGAGTGTGCAGGGGCTTTGAGTGAGGCCTGGTGCCTGAGAAGAGTCGCTGTCGGGTGTCGCATACAGACCCTTCCGCTCACTGGCGGTGTGGCCTTGGGCAGGTCTCTTGGCTTCTCTGAGCCTCAGATTCTAAAGAGCAGTTGTGTTTCATTCTTCACACTGGACAGGCTGTGAGATCAGATTTCAGTCTTACCCCAGATCCTCCCTCTGCCCTCCCTAGCCACCGTGGTTGCACCACTTCTTCACCCAAGCATCCCGCCCCCACCCCCCCCTGCAGGGCCTGGGGGCTAGCATCATTCCCCATCCTCCCACCCCCAGGTAGTGAGGGCTGCCTCAGCCCCTCTAAGAGGTTCTAGCCAATCCAGGGCCTAAGAAGTGAGGGGACCAAAGTGGAGGCGGGGGTGGGGGCAAGGACTTTCCCAAGCTCACGGTGGGAGGAGGGAGCCATGCCTCTTGCCCCCATACCCCCCTCCCCCCTCCAGCCTCCGATGGGATATTTGGGGCTCTCCTCCTCTTTCCCGAAGCCCTGCTTGTCTTCTGCATAACAAGGAGAGAATGTTATTTAAAAGGAGATCAGGAGATTTGCCTTAAATAGGCATGGAGTGCTGTGCCAGGGCCCAGGGTGAAGGGCGAGGGGGGGCGGGGAGGCGGCAGTGGTGGAGAGGAGGTGGAGGGAGGGGAGGAGGCACCCTGCGTGGTGGTGAGAACGGAGTGGAGCTGAAAACCTGCCCAGGGGTGTGCACCTTCCTTCACAGTTTACCAAGCACAGTCCCAGGATCCACCCGACAGCAGATGGTCAAGCTGGGCTTATTCCCACCCCACCTCTGTTCTGAGGAGGAGGAAACTGAGGCCGGGCCAGGGAACTGACATGCACTAGCTAGCTACCAGGTGGCATCTGATGCTGGATGCCATGGTCTTTCCACTGCAGCCCCCAGAGCTGGGAAGTGTTCAGGGAGGTGAAGAGCCCAGAAGATAAGGCTTCCTATAGCGGGGACGGGGGTGTCTGTGGGGTGGGGGTGTCGTGGAGCCTCTTAGACACCTGCCTCCACCCTCGGTTCGGTTCCCAGGTCTTTGGCTCCTGCCCCCAGGTTGCCCTTGCCGGCCCTCCCAGCCCCAGCTTGTACCTGGACGCCCTCCTCACTCTGCACCTTCCCAGGTGAGCTGGGGCTCTGCTTACCCAATACAAGCCAGGGGAGGGAGGTGAGGGGCAGCCCGGGAGAAGTATGCCGGGAGACCGTGAGGCTAAAGGAGGGAGCTGGAGCCAGGGGTGAGAGGCATGGTCACGGCCCGCCCTGCAGGGCTTGTCTGGTACCTGGCATTCACTCACTTCCCTCTTCAGTGTCTCCTTCCAAGCCTCTCCCCTTCCATCGTGGCCCCTCCCAGCCGTTTATGGCTCAGCGGGTGATGCTCTTGGAATCCTAAAGAAGTGGAGTTTTGAGTGTGGAATTTCTGGGGCAAAGCTAGGGGCCAGAAGGCACCCCATGTTTGCTCCTTTTTGCAAAGGCCCTGAACATTGAGGTGAAGCCTCAGACACTGGGTGTCCACCCTGGCCTCACCATCAGCCTTGAGACCTTGAGCTGCCCACCTGTGTCTGTCTCCTCCTCTGTAAAGTAGATCTAAAGATGGCCCTCATACATGCTTGATGAGAAGAGGGACAGAGCTCTAGCCGGTTTGGCTCAGTGGACAGAGTCTCAGTCCTCGGACTGAAGGGTCTCGGGTTTGATTTCTGTCAGGGACACGTACCTCAATTGCAGGCTCGACCCCTGGCCCAGTCGTAGGAAGCAACCAATCAATGTGTCTCTCTCACATCGATGTTTCTCTCTCTCTCTGTTTCTCTCTGTTTCTCCTCTTCCGTTCTACTTTCTCTAAAAATCAATGGAAAAAATATCCTCGGTGAGGACTAACAAAAAAGAAGAAGAAGAAGAAGGAGAAGAAGAGGGAGAAGAGAGGAAAAAAGAGGGGCAGTTGTGACAAATGCACTCACAGATCAGGGCTGAGACCTCATGTTTGTTGGGAGACAGAGAGGGGAAAACTTCACTCTCCCCTTCCTCTTAGTGGGTGGGCACAGCCTGTGTCTTCTGGAAGACTGAAAGAAAGCAGTCACTTAATCTGGGCTCCGGTGAATTCTTTTTGTTATTCTCCAGGCCACTTGGGAGGCAGGGAAAGGGTAAGGATGGGGAGGAGGGGTGCAGGATGGCCACTGTAGGTAAGTAATGAAGGACAAAGAGAGCTAACCAGGAGGGTTTCCCGCACGCCTGGCCCCATCCAGCTCTTGCCCTGACTTCATTGGTCAGCTGTTCACCCCATTTCACTAATGGTGAAACTGGGGCTGAGGATTTAGGCAGCATGTCCAAGGTCACACGGGAAGTGGGAAGCCAGTATCTGACTTCAGGGCCTTCTGCTAAAAACCCCAGGATCCTGGGACTTGGGTTCCAGACCCAGCTTGCAGTGTAGCCTTGGCCAAGTCACCTAATCTCTGATTAGTTTTCTCTTCCCCTGTCTTCTCGGGGTTATTGTGAAAAAACCAGAGGGCTAATGAGCACAAACCATAAGGTACTCAACTGATACCAGGCGCAAGCTCCTCAACAAAGGAACCTCCTCCTCTCTGCTCTTCCTGGGCTCCCGGCTCCTGAGGCATCCATGTGCCCCAACAAGGCAACAAAGGATCTTCCAGGTCTCTGGGAAGGGACTGACCGACCACTTGGCTCCACCTAGTGGTCCGTGGTGTGTGGTGCTTGGCCAGGGTGCTCTGAGACTGAGGGTTTGAGCATGACCCTTGGCCCTGTGGGGGTGGGCAGAATCTGCCAGCCCCTCAGAAAGGATGAGGTCATGCCAAGCTGAGCCCTCCCCTGGCCACGCCCCTGAGGACACATGACGGTGGGCACGCCACCAGTCCCCATCTCAGCCCACATCTCACTGGCAAGGGGAGGCCACGGGTTCTCCTCCAGCTCTGCCACTGCCTCACTCCCAGGACTCAGCCGCCTCCCCTGCAGAACTGGAGTAACCATCCCTGCCTCTCAGGGAGCCTGGGACGGTGGTGTGTTCTTTCCTGTATCAACCACTTTATGAAGTGTCTCCTTTCTAGAGTCATCATGCTGAGAGCTGTGGGGATACAAGGGCTGCTAAGCCAAGTTTCTTGCTACCAAGGCACCTGCCTTATTCTAGACCAGTGGTTCTCAGCCTTGTCTGCACATTAGAACCACCTGGGAATCTTTTTAAAATCCTGATTTCTGGGCCTCATCCTCCGGAAATTCTGTTTCTTTGTTATGGGGTGGGGCCACAACATTAGTAACAAAGAAACAGAATTTCCGGAGGATGAGGCCCAGAAATCAGGATTTTAAAAAGATCCCCAGGTGGTTCTAATGTGCAGCCAAGGTTGAGAACCACGGTTCTAGGGGAAGACAGACGTGTAAGTTGATCATTGCCCTCAAGGCAGATCACAGCTGCTCGGAGGAGGAGAGCACTGCACAATGAGGACGGGACTTGCTGGTGCCCAGGCAGGCTTGTGAGGAAGCCGTCTTTCAGCAGAGGAGGTCCGTATGGAACCAGGGAAAGCTGAAGCCAGTGCCTGGGCGAGGGGAAAGGGCTGGCAGGGGGAGGGGTGCTTTGGCAGTGTGTGTCGAGGATGGGGTCAGAGAGGAGAATCCCAGGAGAGGACCCTCAGGCATCCTCAACAGCCCAGCTCTGGGGATGATGTAAAATTCATCTCCCAGCAGAAGCCCTGGTACCTCCTGCACCTTCATGCACCTTCAGCTCCTGCCAGAGGCTGCAGGACCTGCATGGGAGACCAAGCCCAGCCAGCCACACACCTGCCTCTAGGTCTGGACTGAGTGATGTGAGCAGGCAGAAGAGTTCAGGACTCCTTCCCCTGGTGGCTGTGAAAGGCGCCCAGGGGTGGCCAGAGGTCCTCCTGGCCAGCTGCTCCCAGCTCCACTCCTGCCAGTGGTTCTAGCCTCCCTGGTTCCCACTGTTTCCAAGCCTGGGTTTCTGGGCTCCTCATATCACTTCTTCGAGCTAGCCTTCTGTTCCATTACCTTCCTTTCCTGCTTCAGTTATCCCCAGTCTGTTTTTCCTGTTTCCATCCACGAACCGGCAACCTCCTAGTGCATGGGAAGGTGTGCAACCAACTGAGCGACACAAGCCAGGGCAGGGGTGTGCCTCCTTAAAGAGAGCCGAGGAGCCCACAGTCCTTACATAATTCACGTTTATTTGCCCTAAATAAATACCATCTGAGTATGCATATATGCATGGACACAGACAATAGGGTGGTGAAGGCCTGGGGCGGGGGGTGGGGGCAGGCTGGAGGGGGGCCATGGGGGGGAAAGGGGGACATATGTAATACTTTCAACAATATTTATTAAAATAAATAAATAAGTAAACTCAACCGGAGAACATCCATTTCAATCCTCACTCACTATTTCTTTCCCCAGAAAGCAGCGTAAGAGACGGGCGCACAGTGTGCTGTGCGTGTCCTCACGTCAGGCTCAGGCGGGTGTTGGTCCTGGCTGTGCGAGGCTGGGCCTGGCTGTGAAATTACCTCAGGGTCCCTTCTCCATTTGGGGCCTGTACCAGCCCGAGTCCCTCAGGACCCACGTGCCTCTTCCTGCCCCTGGAACACCTCTCCCTCTGCAGCCCAAAGCGGGCGGCCCTCATGACGGTGGTCCCATGGCCTGCCCTCTGTCCTCTAACACCAGATACCACCACAGGCCCATTCCCAACTGGCACAGAAAGACGATTCCTGACCCTGGAAGCAGCTCACCCAGCGCAACGGGAGAAACTGAGGCACAGCTGGCAAATGGGTGGGAAGCATTATCCCTGTACCCGTGCCAGGAGGCTGAGAGACCCTAATGACGGGAGAATGGGCACTGACCATCCTCCCCTGCTATCTCCTGGGGTCCTAGCTCACCAGGAGTGGGAGGAGGGGGAGACCATCTTCTGTCTTCTCTTTGTGGCTCAAAGGTTTGGATCCACATTCTCCTGGTCTGAGGCTGCTTCATCATCATTTGGGGACTCCTAGATTGAAGCCAGAGAACCTGAGTCACGAGCTTCTGCTGTCCTCCAGGGCCACAGCCTGGGGGCCAGCATCTCCTTCCTCTTGCCCCTGTCCACAATGGAGCCAGAGAAGGCTCTGCCACCCCTACCCAGGGCCCCTTGGCCCACCACTGGGTGACTCCCTCTTACCAGGCCGAGGCCACTGCCCCGCCGCAGGGTGGCATAGAAGCGTAGCACACGGGGGTCACAGCGAACCACCATGGGGTCAAAGTCCAGCACACGCAGGCCCTGCAGGCTGCGGGCCCGGGAAAGGGCCACGTAGGCCTGGCCACTGGCAAACACGCGGCCCAAGGAGATCTCCACGCAATCCAGGGACATGCCCTGGGGATGGAGAGACAGAGATGGAGCCAGCTCTGCCTGAAGTCCTTTGTGCCCAAGAGCCCGACCCACCTCACCAGTCCAGCTATTGCCCCTGGATCTCCTGGCCCAGCCCCGAGATTCTCAAGGCAGAGGGATAGGCTGACCCTGGATGGGCATCTGAGCAGGAGGGGCTCCAGGAGATACATCCAGGATAAGCGAGAGGGGTGGGGGTGGAAGGCAAGAACTCAGGCCTGGGTCAGACCGGCATGGAAAGGAATCCGGCTCTGCCTCTCACTAGTTGTGTGGCCTTGGACACGTTACTTAACCTCTCTGAGCCTCGGTTTCCTCCTCTGTAAAACAGGAGTGATGGTTACGTCTGCACTTCATACAGGTGTTGTGAGTATTAACGTTAACATGTCTGGTAGTGGCTCAGAAAGTGGCAGGGCAGGAGATGACGGGGCAAGTATATGGATCCCGGAAAGGGAGAGCATGGGATGGGGAATGCACTCAAGAAAGGTTTATCCTACAACTGGTCTGAAACTTTGCCTCCAGGGCAAGCTCAACTCCCATAAAGCCTTTAAGGCCTCCCTCAAATTGCCCCTCGCCTATTTCGTCCCCCCTCTGCCCTGCCCTGCCCCACCCCCCGCACTGGCTGCTCACCTGGCTCTTGTGGATGGACATGGCCCAGGCCAGCTGGAGGGGCAGCTGCTGCCGGCTGAGGAGCCGGCCCCCAGTGGTCTGCACCGTCCAGCGTTCAGCACGGATGACCTCGGTGACTCCACATAGAAACCGTACCTGGGGCAGCCCTGAGGGAGGCATGGAGAAGTCCCACTTTTCAACCCTGTTTCAGGGCTCAGAGGTGAGAAGCGGGCCTCACCTTTGCACCCTAGACTCTTTCTCTTCACACTTACCCTGGGGCCCTGTTGCCCCAAGCAGTAGGTCTGCACCCCCATCACTCACCTCTCCCCTCAGTCTCGAAGCCGACCACCACCCCTCGGGCACCATTCACCAGGCCCTGGGACACCGCTAAGTTCTTCACCAACATCACCTGCAAGGGAGAGAAGGCATGGAGAGCTGCCCATTCCTGTGCCTGGCCTCGGGCCCAGGGGCCACTGCTGTGGTTTTGGGAGGCTGGGGGCTGTCATGGAGGGGCACTGAGTCCTACTTTTAGCTTAGCCACCAGCTGACTGTCCCCCTGCAGCAAGATGCTTTATTTTCCCGGCCTCGGTTTCCCTTTGTGTCAAGGGGATGGACATTGCTTGGGAGCAGGTAAAGAGCATAAGGTCACAGACATCATAGGGCTTTGAAAGCTACCACGTCTGTTGGGGGGTACATGTGGGCCCCAACCTCGAGGGCCAGCCCCCAGCTGCCATCCCTCTTCCAACCACATGGTGC